GGGGGGGGGGGGGGGGGGGGGGGGGGGAGAAAAGAGGGGTGAACGAGGTGTGTCATAATTAAAACAACAAAAAAGCAGAAAGAGCTGGAAGCTTGCATTTCACCACTCTCCACCCCCAAAGTGAGAAGTGCCGGAGAAAAAGGTGGAAATATAAATATATACATTCAGTTCAGTCATGATATGATATTTATATTTTTATCTATCTATCTATCTATCTATCTATCTATCTATCTATCTATCTATCTATCTATCTATCTATCTATCTATCTATCTATCTCTATATTTCTATTTCTATCTCTATCTATCTCTATCTATCTATCATCTATCTCTATCTATCTATCTCTATATTTCTATTTCTATCTCTTTCTATCTCTATCTCTATCTATCTATCTCTATATTTCTATCTCTCTATATTTCTATCTATATCTTTCTATCTCTATCATCTTATTATTATTATTATTATTACTTTAATTTATACCCCGCCCTTCTCCCGAGGGACTCAGGGCGGCTTACAGGTAAATAAAAACAGTACTATACAATAAATATCTAAAAGCCAAATTAAAATATATATTAATCTATCTATCTATCTATCTATCTATCTATCTATCTATCTATCTATCTATCTATCTCTCTATATATATATATATTTCTATTTCTATCTATCATCTATCTATCTATCTATCTATCTATCTATCTATCTATCTATCTATCTATCTATCTATCTATCTATCTATCTATCTATCTATCTATCGTATCTATCTACCGTATCTATCTACCGTATCTATCTACCGTATCTACCGTATCTACCGTATCTACCGTATCTATCTATCTATCTATCTATCTACTGTACCTCTCTCTCTCTCTCTCATGTTCAATTATATATATATATATCAGGTCATCATTCAACCACCAAGCCTGGATGGGGTAGAAACCCTCAGCTCTTGGGGGGGGGGGTGTAAGAGAAGGGGGCAAAGTGCCCCAACTGGATTTCAACCACATGCCAAGAAATCCTGGCCTCATTTTGGGAGGGGGGAAGCTTCTCTTGATATCTTTTCCCACCGAGATGAAACGTCCCTTCTTAGACGCCCCGAAGGTGCTTTTTTTTCTTTTTCCAAAAGGCAACTGGCCTTTCTTGGCTCTTCCTGCGGCCGCTTGGAAGTCCACCCTTCCATCAGAACTGAAGAAGCTTCCTGGATGAGAATCGAATCATTTGCAAGGAAAAAGCCAAGAAATCTTCAGTTGCCTTTTGAAAAAAAAAGCAGCTTTGGGAATCTTAAGGAGGGATGTTCCATCTCGCGGGGAAAAGATATGGAGAGAATCTTACTGACCTGGATGACTTGGGAATCTCCACAAACATCCCTTCTTAAGATTGAAAACTGGAGGGTCCAGGACCAAAACCAGCTTCAGATTTTGGGGTCAGGCCTCCCCCCCAAAAACAAAAACTTGGGGTTTCTCAACTTCAAACGTAAGAGAAACAAGGGGAACCATCAGTTTAGGAAGCCAGTGGCACACGATGGCTGCTCCTGATGGGAGTTGCAAGCCATCCCAAAAGCACCAGCCCCGGGAAGGGCAGCCTTAGAGCACCTTCTGCCCCAGCCTGGACCGGTCAGCTGGTCTGGCCAGACGAGCAGGGAAATCTGCCAGCTCTTCTCAGCTCCAAGCAAGGCCGCTACTTACACGATCTCTCGGAAAGCTCGCTTTTCAACGTATTTTAGCCGGTATTTCCTTTTGAACCTGGTAGAGAAGAAACCACGTTATTAGAGTCATCTACAGAGCTGGGACGCATTCCTTCCCGGAGGAAGGAAACTTAAACTGGCTTGTTTCCATCCAAAGAGGTGGCTGGCAAAGTTGTGTGAAAGCCTGCCTCAAGGGAACGGGATCCCTCTTTAAAAGATCCCTACCACTAACTGAAGCGTATTCAGCTGCTCTCTCTCTTTGTCTAAAATCTTTTATAAGTGGTTCATTCAAAAGGGTCGGTTGAATCGATGCCACTGATCTAACGTGAGAATTAAAGTTCCAGGAACAAATTCTCCAATCTTGTTAAAATGGTTTGCGGAAGCACTGTTTCACCCAAGTATGAGCTAATCCTTGACCCCAAAACCATGAGCAACGAAGCAGTTGGAGAAGCTAAGGCTTTGGGGACCACTTCCTCCTTCCATTCTATCCCAGTTACTCACTTGGCCCGTTCCCGGGGTTCGATAATGTTGCGTTTCTGCAAGCTCTTGAAGCGGTCCTTCAGGATGCTGCCTTCTGGCTGAGGAGGGGGAAGAAAAGACAAACATGAACTCAGGATGCTCAAGAGCAGGGGTCCTCAACCTTGGCCACTTTTAAGACTTGTGGACTTCAATTCCCAGAATTCCCCAGCCAGCCATGCTGAACCTTGGCTCAACAGAAGAGACACTGAAGGGCGAGGGATCCAGCTTGTGTTCTGGTTTCAGAGATCAATCAGGGAATCTATCAGAGATGCCCACTTGAATCTCCAGAGGGGAAGGAAGGTAGGAAATCCAAGTTACAGTACAGGTGGTCCTTGACTTATCACGTGACCCCCAGGGATGCTGCAAAGGTGGTTGGTTGTGTGTGAAAAACGACCCGACGTCACTTTTTCCAGCGCCGTTGTAACTTCGAACGGTCACTAAAGTGAACTGTGACCTGTGTTCCTGTCTCCAGCGACATCTTTGGCCACAATGGCCCAAACCAGGTGTGGTTTCCTGCCTTTGTGCAAAAGGACACGCGTTGGACGCTTTCATGCGAGCCCTACAAGTGACAT